ATGCTTGGAACTTCAAAAACCTGACATATAAATATAATAAATCAAAATAGAGCCTGTATCTCGACCTGTATATAATAATAAATCGAAATCAGTTTAGTAGATCAGAAATTGATTGTTTACATACAAATATATCTTCCTGTATATGATATGAATATGATGATCAAAGATTAAAAAGTTAAATAACATACCTACGAATTAATGATATATCTACAATTTGTTTGATATAGCTAACAATGTATCAAGCATGTCATTTGTATTTACCTATATTACATTAGGCCTAAATATTTTACATATCTACGGGTCCACACCTACATATCACAAATAATAGAGTACTTGTACCAATTTTATGGGGTATTATGCACTTTTCCCATGAAAATTTAGTCACAACCGTCAGTCATACTGTTATGCTGTGTAAGTGCAAATTCGCATGCAATAAAGTTTGATGAAATACATTTGGCAACATTTGTTTCGCAACATTATTGTCTAACATTGAGTGTTGCGCGTCTAAACGGTGGTAAATTATATATATGTCACCGTACAATTACAACAAACGCTAGATTATAATCTATCTCGCTAAATTATAATCTGTCGAAATATTATAACACATTCACACGTTTTACAATTTAACGTATAATTTTTCAGTAGATTACAATATAAAGAACTAAAACCGTAAAAGTGTGATACGATATGCAGCTCGCGTTCTGATTGGTCAAGTCAAGCAACGTGTTGCCAGCAACGCCATGAGACGCCATGTTTGTTTCACAGCTGATTGTCATTTCGTTGATTCTCGAACGTAAACAAACAGTTTTTGATTCCTTTTTTACAATTTCGTGTTGAAAATTGCTCATATAAATTTACGAAATAAGAAAACAATCTTATAAATAAGCGCTGCTTACGTTCGATACCTAATTACCTATCGAAATGCCGACCAGCTGTGAAATAAACATGGCGGCGCGGCGCGATATACATTACATTCGACCAATCAGAACGCGAGTTGACAGTTTTACCGTTTTGCTTCTTTTATTGTAATATTTTGAAAATTGACACGTTATCTGACAATATTTCGACAGATTGTGATTTAGCGAAAAATAGTTTTGTTTGAAATTTCACGGTGACATATACATTAGATATATGTAGCTGCATTTTGTCGCGCAACTTGCGAAACTATGCCACGAGCGAGACCAATGTTGCGACTGACTCGTATAGTAGGGGTAATGTTTTGTGCCAATTTTTCGCAAATAATACGAAGAATTATAAATCTTTCACCACATCTCAAGCTATATTTAAAAGGTCGGCAATTATTTAATTTTGTTTGTGATACCTACTATTGACTGTGGCTACTTTAAATGTGCTAAAATGAGATCGTGATGATTATTCCACCCAAAATCATTATCATTAAATTACGATAGCTACAAATTTTTACCTACACGGGGTGTAGTTCACGATGCACCGAAAACTTCGCAGGCATGATCAGTTAATATAGTTGGACTTCTTTCGCCACCGAGAACTTCTTCTGTTATGTAATGAGATGAGACGTCAAAAAACGACTCCCCAAACAAATCACACGCTCAGTCGACTGATGCTACTATGTGACTTTTTAAAATAGTTCTAGTGAAAGTTGTTCAGTTCCATGGATTTAATAATGCCTGTATAGTATTCGGTACGCACCGAATGACACGCAAAATTATAATCATTTGTCATCTTATGTATGCCCTTGCGTAAACGTTACTGCTAATTCAAATATACAATACATGATTAATTCTAATATAATAATGGTAAACTTTTTACATCGTCAAACTAAAGTAATCAAAAAAGTAAAAATAAAATAAAGAGTGTATCTGCAAAATTAAAAATTGAACTTCGCTAAACCAGCCAGCTGATTTTGTTAATATTTGTATTAGAAATTAGATTCTTAACATTGCAGAAACAACCTGTACCTATACATATACGATGTCATATTTATAAATACCTATCATTTCATACAAATCATAGACAACAATAGAATGGTTTGGTATTCTTCTCTATGGTTTGTATGAAAACCTAAGCGATTCCTTTACACTAATGTGCGTCAACCCTAATTTGGACGTTTGTGAATACAAGCCTCATCTTTTATACCTTCCTTTACAATTCATTACATTTGGTTATGTATTATTTTTTCATACGAATAATCAATATAAATTACGACCAGTCTTTCAACTATTTCCACCCATGTAAAGCTGCCGTGGACAGCAGCCTAAGAATTTTTGATACTCGCTTTTTTACTATATCTACCTTTTTCTACTTTTATGTCGGATATACAAGGAGTTCATTTTATTTGTAGTATCCAGACAGAACGTATTCTTGAGTTATTTTCTTTCTAAAAAATTGCATTGATATTCAAATTATTATACAGGTAGTAGCAAAAAGGGTATTTACAAGCCGAAGGTATGTCAAGATACTCATGAAACTGAACATCTTTCCCCATTGAACATGGGCCGAAATATAAAAAAAAAATTACCTCCCTTACAAAATCGTCGATTAACTGACTGATTAACTATGGGGAGGCCGAATTTATTGGACCCATTTTCCATGAGAAAAGTTGTTCAGTCTTATGAGTATCTTGACCTCCTTTCGGCTTTCTTTTTTGTTACTCCCTGTAAGAGCAAACTAAACAATGTTTAATAAAATCACATTTTAAATACCTAAATCTGCTATTGCCTTAACACTTTGTACCGAAACATATCATTTACCTAGCTGTTACTCCTCGGCATGGCCACGTGAAGGAACACAGACGTGACCTCCATGGGACACACGTCCAGCACGGTCTGCGTGGCCGGCGCCCGCACGCGCGTGAATGTCAGCGTCGACGGGTACACTTGCGATGCGGACACGTTCACGTACTCACGCAGCTCGACCTGGGGAGAAAGCATCGATAATGTTAGTAAATAAAATGAAAGTAAAATGAGACATCGAGTGTTTTCATATAAGTCGAAAACCATCATCATCTTCCTGCCCTTATCCCAATTACTCGGGGTCGGCGCAACATTTTTTGTATGAACACGAAATCATGTTGTAAAAGGATTTGGCTTAATTTTACGACAGGCTGGTACCGGGTGTGGTAGCGGCTAAAAATTCTACTTAGGGTGTTTTGTAAAAGGCGACGTAGAGTTTTTGACCTTGGCTACAATTTGTGCCAACCATGGTCAACCGTATGGTGGCGTTAATACCACCTACGATAGAATTCCCAAAGATGGTTGACTTCAAGCAGGCGGCCGGTCGTAAAATTAAGCCAAATCCTTTTGCAACATGATTTTGTGTTTAAAAACATGTTAATTATAATACAAATAATTGGGATAAGGGCAGGAAAATTATGACAGTTAATAAGTATTTGTTTGAGACTTTCGCGTTTTGTACACATTATTGTTATTATCGGGTCGACGCGCGGACGAGGGTACAGTTTCCTCGCGACCACGAACTTTGCAACCAGTTCGAAACCTTGAGAAAAAAGTTAATTAGTAACTTAGAGTATATACAAGGTGTCCCAAAGTAAATACATTAAATTGGAGATGTTGTGTAGGCCATCATACCGAATAATTTTCATTATGGGGCCAAGTTAAGAAAACCCCTCGTTTAGAAGTAATTAGCAACTTAAATTTGTTAAATTTAATTCAGTGCCACATTATGAAAGAAGCTTTATTAATTATGACCTTTATTTATGTCATGTTGCCGTCTTGGAAAAACTTTTGAAATTACCGCCACAACTGTTGCCAAGGCAATGGTTTTGGCGGTAATTTAGTTGCCAAGGCAACAGTTGTGGCGTAGGCCAAGGTCAAATGTTATGTTCGTCAAAAACTGACACAACTGACACTACAGACTCTACTGGGTTCTCTGATTGGCCCTTTGTCTCTGCGTCTCTATGGGTGCTCTAAGTCAAAGAAGTTTTTAGTTTGAGGCGGCAATAAAATAAAGTTGACTGCAAGAAAAAGATCTTTTATGTTAAGTTTTCGTTTAAATTTAAAACATAGACAACTATGTTCCAAACTTTTTCGAAGATTCAATTCCAACAAGTTAAAATTGCAAGGTTGCAATCTTAGATAAGGGGTATTACATAATGGTTGTAGTAAATGTAGGCATTTACTTTGTATGAAAATTTCAACTTCTTAATTGTTAAGAATTCAAACTTGGTGCCATAATGGAAATTGTTCAGTACAATGGTCTACACAACGTCTCCAATTTAATGCATTTCCTTTGGAACACCTTGTATAAGTAAGCTATAGAGTGAAAAGTTAGAACTGGCGGCAGTAGGCTGGGCGCCACCTCTCTATCTGTCAGTAGCAAAACGACAGTGACAGCACTACTGAACCTCTATAACTTCTCATACATTTGACATCTGCAACTGCTTAAGCTAGCTCTGACAGTACGCCGCGGGGCCTAATGCACGCTCTATAGCTTGCTTATATATACTCTAAGATTAGTAATCAAGTTATTTATCCATCTTACCTGTCCATCGCTAACTGGATACGTGTTGTATATCTCCTTGTTTCCGTAGCACGGGTCGAGGTACACGCGCTGGAAGGTCATACCCACACCTTGCATCGACTTGTCTAAGGAATTCTGAAAAAAAAAGCATAATGTCAAGTTTGGCGGATCGTTCGTCGATTTGGTGCACCACACGATAGAAGAAGTTTAGCCACAGATTTCTAAATACTATTATGCCGGAGCTTGGGTTACTTTCGCCGAGATTGCTGTACTTACTTTATGCTGGCAAAGCTATTGCTGTGCCCATTATTTAAAATAATTAGTTTGCACCACTCTCACTCATGTTTATTTTTCAATTGGGTATTGATAATCATCCCAGTGCTATATTATTTTCGTAAATGAAAATAAGAAATTGAAAAAGAAACCATACATACAGCGGGACTCGAACCCGCGCCGCATTGGCCATCTGCCAAAGAGGTGTATCTATGCATCGATCGATGAATGTCAAATTTTCAACCTCTCGATGCTCGAAGCGACGATCGCTAGCTATAGCTCAGTGACAGAGCGATGGGGCGTTGACCCATGCGGCCCGGGTTCGAGCCCCGGTCGCTGCAGTACTTTTTTCAATTTCTTATTGTCATTTATGTTTATTTATTTTTTGTGTCGGCGCAACACGTTTCGTTGAACACAAAATCGTGTTGCAAAAGGATTTGGCTGAATTTTACGACCGGCCGCCGACCAGACGTCAACCCCCCCTATTTATTTTATTGTGTATCAAATCTTTATCCTTCATCTCCCATTAATTCTCATACAGAGTCCCAAAAGGTACGCTCCGCTACTGCTACTAGTTTATTTATACGCGCGCGTGTGCTCGCGCGCCTCAGTCAGCATCATATCGGCTGCGGAGCGCGGGGGCTTTATCCTGTTAGTGTCGGGGGCTGCGTCCCGGCCGGAGCTATACTGCATCACCACTAGAGGCTGCATAACTACTAGCATCACTAACAATGGCTGCAACAGTGGCTGCGACAGTGGCTGCGACAGTGGCTGCGACAGTGACTGCAAAAGTGGCTCGGACAGTGGCTCGGACAGTGGCTGCGACAGTGGCTGCGACAGTGGCTGCGAAAGGGGCTGCGACAGTGGCTGCGACAATGGCTGCGACAGTAGCTGACACAGTGGCTGCAGCCTAAGAACAATAACTAAAAGCACTAGAAGGAAGATTATATTTCAGTTTAAAGACGAACGAAAATAACTATATCTTATTAAAATTTGCTTGCTTTACCTATGCAAATGTGTTTTTATTATTTTCGGGCTTTTCGGGCATGTCACCAGTTTCAACCAGCCAAAATGTCATTGGAGTCCACTGGACTCCAGTATAAACCGAACAAATTAGAAAACTTTTTGTCGTTCTACCGTTTTGTTGTAAACTACTGGCGAAGTGTAAAAGTGTTTGCCTTGTTTATGTCAACTGAATTCTGACGTATAGTATTTTGTTGGTTTGTGAATAACATAATCTAGCAAAAAAATATTAACATTAATATTGAAAAAAGTGGAATTGTACGCGAAATAATATACGATAGAGCCCCGTTTAACATGGCTTTTGCCGTGGCGGGATATACATCCCATAGCGGAAAAAAAGGATTCGAAAATGAAACATAGCATTTCATCGGTAAGTAATTGCAATATTTTTTGTCCATACCAAAGATTTATACTGGGAATCAGATATAAAAAGAGTGTAAAAGTGCACAGCGCCTTTGTAAATACACAAGTACATTCGTATCTTGTAAAACAAGCTTAATTTCAAGTTTCTAAAATACGCGTTTAAGTAGGTTAGTGTTTTGACAGACAGAGCGAGCTGACTTTTCCTATTATAATGCGATACTTTACTTTTAAATTAGTGATTTTTACATTTGTTTGCCAAAATTGTGTACTTATAGCTACCTGCCTACCTCCTATGTTACAGATTTCGTAAAGAAATCACGAGGACCAAAATGGAAGGAATGTTTTCGAAAACCTATTTGGATGGACACCTACGACACACAGACACGTTATTTGTTCCAATCGTGTGTCGGGGGCTGCGTCCCGGGCGGCGCTGTACTGCATCACCACTAGCGGCTACAGCAGTGGCTCCAACAGTGGCTACAGTAGCGTGACCACTGAACTCCTGGTGTCTTACCTTTGCGTGCGTGTGTGTGCGCGCCTCAGCGAGGATTATATCCGCTGCGGAGCGCGGGGACTTTATTCTACTAGTGTCGAGGGCCGCGTCCCGGGCGGAGCTGTACTGCATCACCACTAGCGGCTGCATCACTAATAATGGCTGCAACAGTGGCTGCGACAGTGGCTACGACAGTGGCTGCGACAGTGGCTGCGACAGTGGCTGCGACAGTGGCTGCGACAATGGCTGCAACAGTGGCTGCGACAGTGGCTGCGACAATGGCTGCAACAGTGGCTGCGACAGCGGCTACGACAGTGGCTGCGACAGTGACTGCGACAGTGGCTGCGACAGTGACTGCGACAGTGACTGCGACAGTGACTGCGACAGTGGCTGCGACAGTGGCTGCGACAGTGGCTGCGACAGTGGCTGCGACAGTGGCTGCGACAGTGGCTACGACAGTGGCTGCAACAGTGGCTGCGACAGTGGCTACGACAGTGGCTGCGACAGTGGCTGCGACAGTGGTTGCGACAGTGGCTGCGACAGTGACTGCGACAGTGGCTGCGACAGTGGCTGCGACAGTGGCTGCGACAGTGGCTGCGACAGTGGCTACGACAGTGGCTGCAACAGTGGCTGCGACAGTGGCTACGACAGTGGCTGCGACAGTGGCTGCGACAGTGGCTACGACAGTGGCTGCAACAGTGGCTGCAACAGTGGCTGCGACAATGGCTGCGACAGTGGCTGCGATAGTGGCTACGACAGCGGCTGCGACAGTAGCTACAGTAGCGTGACCAGTGAATTCCTGGTGTCTTACCTTTGCATGCGTGTGTGAGCGCGCCTCAGCGAGGATTATATCCGCTGCGGAGCGCGGGGACTTTATCCTGTTAGTGTCGGGGGCCGCGTCCCGGGCGGCGCTGTACTGTGGCTGCGACAGTGGCTGCGACAGTGGCTACGACAGTGGCTACGACAGTGGCTGCGACAGTGGCTGCGACAGTGGCTGCGACAGTGGCTGCGTCAGTGACTACGACAGTGGCTGCGACAGTGGCTGCGTCAGTGGCTGCGTCAGTGGCTGCAACAGTGGCTACGACAGTGGCTGCGACAGTGGCTGCGACAGTGGCTGCGACAGTGGCTGCGACAGTGGCTGCGACAGTGGCTGCGACAGTGGCTGCGACAGTGGCTGCGACAGTGGCTGCGACAGTGGCTGCGACAGTGGCTGCGACAGTGGCTGCGACAGTGGCTGCGTCAGTGGCTGCGTCAGTGGCTGCGTCAGTGGCTGCAACAGTGGCTACGACAGTGGCTGCGACAGTGGCTGCGACAGTGGCTGCGTCAGTGACTACGACAGTGGCTGCGACAGTGGCTGCGACAGTGGCTGCGACAGTGACTGCAAAAGTGGCTCGGACAGTGGCTGCGACAGTGGCTGCGACAGTGGCTGCGACAATGGCTGCGACAGTGGCTGCGACAATGGCTGCGACAGTAGCTGCAACAGTGGCTGCAGCCTAAGAACAATAACTAAAAGCACTAGAAGGAAGATTATATTTCAGTTTAAAGACGAACGAAAATAACTAAATCTTATTAACATTTGCTTGCTTTACCTATGCAAATGTGTTTTTATTATTTTCGGGCTTTTCGGGCATGTCACCAGTTTCAACCAGCCAAAATGTCATGGACTCCAGTATAAACCGAACAAATTAGAAGTATAGATTAAAAACTTTTTGCCGTTCAACTGTTTTGTTGTAAACTACTGGCGATGTGTAAAAGTGTTTGCCTTGTTTATGTCAACTGAATTCTGACGTATAGTATTTTGTTGGTTTAAAATAAACATTAAAATTAACCCTCCACTCGAGTCAGATTTCGCGCACCCCCATTTGTTTGGCAATTTTAGGACAAATCTGTCCTTTCATGAGCGGGAGGGTTAATATTGAAAAAAGTGGAATTGTACGCGAAATATAGCCCCGTTTAACATGGGTTTTGCCGTGGAGGGATATACATCCCATAGCGGAAAAAAAGGATTCGAAATTGAAACATAGCATTTCATCGGTAAGTAATTACAATATTTTTTGTCCATACCAAAGATTTATACTGGGAATCAGATATAAAAAGAGTGCAAAAGTACATAGCGCCTTCGTAAAAACACAAGTACATTCGTATCTTGTAATAATAAACAAGTTTAATTTCAATTTTCTAAAATTCGCGTTTACGTAGTTTAGTGTTGTAACACGACAGCTATCGATTTATCGATAGGTGAGCGAACTGAGCGAGCTGACTTTTCCTATTATAATACGATACTTTAATTTTAAATTAGTGATTTTAACATTAGTTTGCCACTGAGAGTATATATAAGCAAGCTATAGAGCGCGCATTAGGCCCTGCGGCGTACTGTCAAAGCGTAAGCAGTTGCACACGTCAAATGTATGAGAAGTTCAGACGTTCAGTAGTGCTGTCACTGTCGTTTTGCTACTGACAGACAGAGAGGTGGGGCCCAGACTACTGACGTCAATTCTAACTTTTTAGGCGCACTCTATAGCTTGCTTATATATGCTCTAAGGTTTGCCAACATTGTGTACTTATAGCTACCTCCTATGTTACAGATTTCGTAAAGGAATGGAAGGAATGTTGTCGAAAACCTATTTGGATGGACACCTACGACTCACAGACACATTATTTGTTCCAATAATAATTTTGCGATGATGAATATTATATGCCCTTAAATACCGGTAAATGTAGGCGACTCAGAGGGGACTAAAATAACGTTAAGCCTTGAAAAAGCAGCTTCCAAGCAGACGTAGCCGTCGGGTAACCACAATCAGACACGCCGACGACATCGAAACTAATCGAATAAAGCAAAACAACGGAATTCGCGGCAGCAGTGAACATAGTTTTTCCGGTCAAAGTCAAGTTTTACAGTACCTAATAAAATAATCATGGTATAATAAAATACTCCGCCTGGTATTCCATTCCAAAACTCGTGAAAAACGTGACTGACACTTGCCTACGTCATCATGCTTGTTGGTTACCAGTGGTGTAATCAGAATTACTCGCTCTTATGTTTTTTTGTAAATCATTTATGATACTATAAGTTTTTAGGTTTTCACGGTTGTTCACAACACTTAAATTATTGTTTGAAACGGGATTATTACCGTGATTATATTTTTGTTTACCTCGATATTTCGAGGCGGTTGCACGCCTCATGGTATAATAAGATACTCCGCCTGGTATTCCGTTCCGAGACTCGTGGACCACGTGACCAACACAAGTCTACGTCATCATGCTTGTGGGTTACCAGAACTACCCACTCTTTATGATGTTTCTTGTAAATCATTTATGATACTGTTAACTAATAAATACAATTGAAGTGTTGTTGTAAAGTTCAAGTTAATACACACGTAAATCTAAATTATAAAATTATTAAGAAATATTTTAGGTCACTTTTCTGAGATTGAATTTACCCCATAACGTTTTTATTGA